ACGACTCAAACATTCAAGACTATTTTTACTTTTTCAAAAAATGTAACGTAAAAATTTTTACTCAATATTAGTAAAATGACCGTAACATTGTTATAGATTTATGTATTTCGAACTATCTTTTTTTCAGAATGTAGCTCTAATCTTTCTCTATAAAATAATATAATTTGATCAATAACTGCATAGAAGTTTGTTGTAGATATTATCGATTTACTGAGAGGGGTCGAAACTTTCTGATCACCCTTTATCAATTTATTAATATTATTATCGATTAATAAAGAAAGTATCCATCAAGATATTGCTAAAATTGCAACAGAATCGATTATTCATGTTGATTTTTTATTGAAGATCAATTTGTTGAAATATCTAACTGATTCAACAGCAACAGATGTCACTCTTATACAGAATATTACTATTCATGTATATTTTAGTTTTATTCGTTGATTAGACAATAATCTATGAGTATTTATCGATGTTTATTCACGTATTTGACGTTCTTATGAATTTATAAACATATTTTTTGTTCTAATTTGTTTGGTTCTTGTAAATCATCTAATCATAAAGAACTTTTTGTCCCTCTGTTTATTCCTTTCTTCAAACAATATACCCCCACCCAGGTCTGTTTTTATCTGTTACTTCGACGATGATTATTCGATTCTTTTATTAAGTCTTTATTTTAAATTACGCAACTTTACTTTTAGTGCAACGGAATAATAGTGTCGATGTTTCTTTCTTTTGTTTTAGATAAACATTACTTATTGTACGAGCAAGTACCACAAAATGCTCTCAAGTGTTCGTCGTTTCTTTAAATTTCTCCATTGGCTTTATTTACAATATTTACTTAATACAGCATTATATATGCTTGAGCCCTGGGAACGTGTACTATTCTCGACATTACTTTTTGCTATAATATCGACAGCCATTTATTCAGCTTGGGTTTTTCTTCCAGTTCATGTTCGTTCAATGATGCAATTATACTCATAAGCAATAATAAAGGAATGTATCGCAAACATTCGTTGTTTTTCTTTTTTTTTTTTTAAATGAATGTCAAACATATTTTAAATACCGCGCTTGTCCATTTGTCTGTGGTTTTATGTCTCGATGAGATTGAAATAAAATAAAAAAATAAGAAAAATAATTTGTTTTCTTATTTTAAAAGTTAAAAAAATAGAAATAATAAAACATACATTAATATTTTTGCGAATTTTTCGTAAAAGCTAAAAATTTGATTCTAAAATTACTTGTGACTTTGAGAGGTCAAAAAACCCCATATATTGGAGTACTATTACCTACTTACCTGTATATAATTATACGATATTTATTTTGTCTCTCATCATGCTTCTTTTTTATTTCCCCACATTATAAGAAATAACTTACAATATTTTGTTATGCGCGCGTGATTGACTTTTTTTTTCTTCTGTCGATGTTATACCTATGTGAATGATATCTTTTCTTTCCTTTCATCTCTTTTATACCTTCGTTTATGCACTGATTAGTTATTGATATAGAATATTCAACTAACTGTGCGTATTTATTATCAATAATATTTCCGCGCTTGATTTTAAAGTTCATACTTATTATTTCTCTTTTGTTTTGTTTCTTCATTATGCTAAATATTCAGTCGCATTGTCTGTACTTTTTAGCGTACTCTTATTTTTCCTATTTTATAGCGACGACCAAGCTTCCTTCCATTTTCCACTTCACACGTACAAGCGTTTTTTTTTTCGACATTATTATTTGTTTGCTTTGTTTCTCTCACATTTTCATAATTTCGTCTTCGTTTTACGTCAAATATATATACACATAATACATATATTACCTGAGTGAGCAAGTATATATTACGATAAAATCAAATCGTTCATTGGCCATCGACGATGAGTATTCCAACCCGAACAGCATACTTGAACTCACTGACGTTAAACAACAATGGCATATCGGTAATATATTGAAGTGAAAAAGTTAACTAATTTCTTTTTCCTTAATTAAACAAAAAAAAATTCGATCTAGGAAAATTTCATAAGAGATTCATTACCTTGAAAAAACATCAATTAAAGATTTCTTTTATTTTCTATCTTTGCGTATAGAATAATAGCAAACAACACCAACGATCTGCTTGGTATTATCCATTATCAGAGTTGATTCAGCATTATTATATGCAATTTTTATTAACAACTACACTCTATGTTATGGAACCATGGGAACGAATTCTTGTAATCATGATAATTATTCTTCTTATTTCACTTGTTACATATTCAGCATTTATTTATATTCCATTTCATGTTCATAATATTTTAGAATCGACAATTCCAATTATAACGGATGTATTTAAGCATTAATTATTAGTATTGATGAAAAAAAAAATGACTTTTTCATTGATATAAATGACTTTATTGTCTGGATTTTAGTTTGTTCTTTGTTTTTCAATATTTGATCATTTTTTACGCCCAATATTGTCTTGATAAAAGATAAAATATGTTTTGTTTTTTTTTTTTTTTGAAAAAAAAAAAGAGAAGGACAATAAATATCGTCACTAAGAATATGTGATTAAGTAAATTGTCAAATGTTCTCACTCAGGTTTTTTTTTTGTTGTTTTCTGTTTTATTTTTTACGATCGATAAACATTTAAATAATTATTTACAAATATCAATAAAATTTAATTTTTAGATTTTAGCATATTTTTCTTTTTAATTTTCTTCTAATAATGGATATTGATTCCGAACCGTTATCATCAACAGCCGGTATGTCAAGTTTAGATGAAGATTTAATGGAACGATTACGTTCAATAACAACTTGTAATCGAGAAGATTTAATTGCACAATTTCGTTCGACAACAAATGCTATGTTAACAGATGAAGGTTGCGGATTTTTTCTTGAAATGAGTAATTGGTAAATATGATACATCGGCTTCTTTTTTTTTTGCATAATATAAAATTTCTATTTGATAGGAATTTAAATGAAGCTATACTCGCTTATTATGATGCTGAAATGCCAACAGATAAAATTCCTCAAATGCGATTTATTGCTGATGTTACTGTAGGAGAAGGTGAAGCTATTCCACCTAATACACGATTTATTAAAACTTGGCGAGTTGAAAATTCTGGTAAATGTCTTTATTTTTCTCTAATATGAAATACATGAGAGTTATTTGATATTCTTTAAGGTACTGAACGATGGCCAAATAATTGTTCATTACGTTTTGTTAATGGTGATCGTTTACAAGATCGTGATGAAATCTATGTTAGTTCATTAGCACCTGGTGAACAAACAAATATTTCAGTTAATATAACAAGTCCAAATGTATCACGTATTATTCGATCACAATGGCGATTATTTACATCAGCTGGTGTACCATTCGGAGGTAGATAAATATTTAAATTGTCTGAGGGTGACACTTGCCTTCATTTTTTTCGAGAAATTGATTTTTTTTTGTATATCATTCGATTTAATTTTTTTTCCCAAAGCCAGAAAAGCAGTCTGACAAAATTTAGAAAATTCTGAAGATTGAATGTGGGTCGACTGGTCAGTGTACGAGACTAACTGTTCGAATGACACTAGAAAAAATATGTATTATTTTCTTTTCTCAGATGTTAAACGTGCAAATTTAAAAAAAAAATTTTTTTACCATTGTATAGAGCACAGCTTGGAGATCGAAAAAAATGTACTTGATTTGTCTATTCAACAGTTTAATTTTCTCAGTTTCTTTAGTGGTTGTAATAAAGTTATTTATATTATTAGATAAACTATATTTCGAAGTATATTTCCATACGCTTAAGCCTTGAAAAGCACAATTTTCATTTTTAGTCAAATGTCCGTCTAGACACATACTGTAGATCCCCTTTCAGGATAGGATCTCCATGCTATGACATGCTGAAATTTTATACACCTAATGGAGGTAGCTAGTTACGTATGCAAAAAAATATGTCAGCTTCGTATCTCATTATTTGTTGTAGTCATAAGAATTATGGTCTATACATTGCATTTATTTTTGGTGCTAGAACAATTCATCGCATGACAAGTTAGTCTTAAACTATCTTGAAAGAGCGTTCAAAGTAGGTGTGTGAATATAGCTGTCAGTGGAGGTACATGGACGATCTTCATTCATAGCGACACCAAAATTCAGACACTAACGATGAATTGTCCCGTCATTCCTATTTTTTGGAGCTTTAAACAGTATTCAGATTCTACGACTGAAAAACTCTATACTATTATACAAAAGATACTGGAGACATTAAGAAAATCAAAAAGTGTCCAATAAAACGGAGAAATTTTGCGGAAATAGCTATATTTTCAAATAAAACAACACATTTGACTTTACCTCCAAATGTAATAGAATGCTGTTGTAGACGCATTGCTTAACTCACAATTTGAACACACGTCTCTGAAATTCATCGGCAGAAATAGATCTGTCTGTCTTTATTCAAATTAATTTTAGGATGTAGTTGTAAGCCTAACTGCAAATTAAGAAAAAAGCTGGCATCCACATACTCACACTCTGTTAGTAAATGTATTTCTATTTTTTATTCTGAATTTATTGCATTCAATTGTAAAAATCGGCAGTAGAAGTCTTCTTTAAACTCTGGATCTACAATTAATGCCATCCGTATATTGGAATAGTTTTTCGGTGAATAATAAATAAGCTGCTTACTAGTCAGAAGATGAAGCTTGATGATCCTCTTCCCGTTCGATCTTTGGGCTCGCTCATAAGAATATCGATTATAACTAGATAAAAGAAAATTCATTTTCTTGCTGATAGTCTGTAAACTCCGATGGAACATCCATTCAATATTTTGACCATTATGGAGATAAATCCACATGGAGTAAAGTATTGCCACCAAACAGTTTAGTTTTCAATGTCGATATGAAACTTGGAATATAAAAATGGTTGTCGCATATTCTCATAGGCAGCAACTTCACTCAGAGATATATGCAAACCTAAAATGGTTTTAGTCATTTTCGACATTCAAATTTTAATAAGCATTAAAACTGAACCTCTTATGACAATGTCAGAAAAATATATAGGAGATTTAACAATGGAATATTTGAGTTGTTTAATGTAGTTACTGCACTGCATTAGAGTAGTCGAATGAGTAGCTAAGGCAACCCGGTTAAAAATGTTTGTGAAAAATTTGGATTAGTCGATAATGTATGACTAACCCTAAGGTTATACATTGTGATGTGTAGTCTAAAACAGCCAGTGACTATGAAGACGTCGTATAGTAGTGTAAAATATATCTGTGACTTGACGAACGTGACAATAGCTAGCTGTTATTTTAATATTTCCTTTTCAAGCTAGTTTGTAGTTAAATAAGAGAAATGAAAGGCGAATGTTAGTGAGGAAATCACTTGCACTAACATTCGAAAATGGTTTGAGCTTAAATTGTCTGTAACTGGATTGAAACAGATCTTCAAGAGGTTGAAGATAATACATATCCTAGAGAATCATATTTTTTAATGATCAATTTATCTGATCTTGATAAAATATACTGTAGATTATTTTCTATCTTCAAAAGTTGATTTTTTCTTTGGTGATAAATAGTTGTTTGTAGCGAGAAACAAATTCTTTAGTCAAAATCCTATTGATTTTTAACATCCATGCATTAAACTATTCGGTTTTATATTTTATTTTTTTCTGATGAAATTCAATGTTTTTGAAGAAGGAGGACGGCGCCTTAAAACTTGATAGTTTGCTATATGATCATGTTGGAATATAGATGATCGAAAAGTAATTAGACAAAATATGCGCCTGTTTTTCAGTCTCTTACAGGGGTCTTCAGAAAGTTGAAAATATTCGGTTAGAATCAAAATTTTGTATTGTTTTCGAGTATAACCTCAAAATATATCTATGACTTCTGTTTTAAGAGTCGGACTTATAGAAGCGCAAAAATTAGATTTAGACGGAGATAATTCAAATTTTTTGCAGCAATAATCTCTTCTACTGCATATGTTTTATTACTGATTTTTTACTATAGAATTAAAGATGAGATTACTCTCTCTCCAAAGTAATATAACAAATCAATAACTTTACGACAATCATTTGAGAATAGCTGGATTTACTTTACATGTCTGTTTTCTATAGAAATTGAGAAAATTACCTAAATTGACGCAGTGTTTCTTATCCGAAATGGTAACTATTGACAATTGATTTTGAGAAAATTAGTCATTAGTATACCATTTTATTGAGAAATAGCTGCACTTTCATTTTCTATATTTGAAATAACTTTTGCTTCTGCATTGCGTAATTTTTGACGCACTGAAGTTAGTTCAAACTTAATTTCTGAGCTTCTAAAAATGATAGATTATATCATTGGGTTGTTTTTCTTTTTCTTTTTAAGATCCTATTTGGTTAATTGCCAGTGTTGAAGAAGGAGGAATAATGGGTATTACACAACAACTTGAACAATGTCATTCTCTTGGTACAAATATTAATTATCCATCATACATGAATAATCCCATGGGTATACAATCATCACATAATTTAATTTTTCAATCATCATCTCTAAATCCATTGCAATCTACTCGATGTAAGTTAATATATAAAAAATGATTATTACTATTGTTCAATTTAGATGTCGCACCTAGTTCAAATCCAAATATGCCAAATGGAAGTGAATGGATAAATTATCCACTTGTAAGTTAACGAATAAATATTTATAAAGTTTACAGAAAAAAAACAAGAAAAGAATTTTTTTTTTTTTTTTCGTAGGAATATTCTCGAACAAATAATATCAATCATTCATCATTAGATCCTTCAGCATCATCAAATGGTAGAATAGACGATTCTTTTGATACATATTAATTCACTTTTATGTTAATTGAGAACGAGTGCGTGTTATCTATGAAGAGAAAATCATCTTGTTCTTTCTTTTTTTTTTTTTTTTATATCAAAAGTTATTTTTTTTCTCCTCGTTTGACTATTCATGTAGATAAGAAAAGAAGAATAAGAAGTTGTATGTTGAAGAATTTTTAGTAGAAACTCGCATTCAGATTTTTAATAATGGATTTTCTTTTGTTATTTTTCTTTCTTTGCTTATTTATAAATGCTGAATATTCAAGATGAGTTATTCGTCTAATGCAAACAGAAATTCCAATAGACAATCAACAGAATCAACTAATTGTTTATCATCATGTATATCGAGTCCTGGAGAACAACAAGGATGTGATAGTGAGATTGAAAAAATAACACCATCATCACCAAAATCAGATTCAAATACATTTATTGGAAAAGATAGACTTCTTGAACAATTTAAAAAACAATTTAAACAATTTGAAGAATGGAATCAACAACGAGATTGGCTTGCATTTCATCATCATCATTATGATTGGTGGATGTTTCCCAGTGAGTTAGTTAATTGAGAAAATATCAAAGTCAGTTCGTTTCGTGAAATTTTCCAATGAAGTTTTAATTCAAAGATAGCATATGTCTACAATTGAAGAGTTATATCGGTTTTAATGAAATGTTTACTGAAGACAAGGAATTTTCGCAAAAGTCAAAACAATGAGTTATTGACTTGGTTTTTTCCCAATAGGCATGTTTAAAAGTTGTAATGAATATGTAGTTGTATATATATCGAAAGAAAGATATGTTCGTTTTCGTTGAAACTTTCCAGAAATCTTTTGCTCTTCGTAAATGTTTCATTAAAAATGCCATAGGCTCGAATTCTTTTAAGTTTTTCTTAGTGGTCTCATCCAGACTTATTCGTTGACGTAATATGAAGTAAAACGACGTCCGATAGTTGGATATGTTCTCTCATCTAATGTAAAAATAACATCCTTGAAATGTTTAACTCAAGATATAAATATTAATACACATTCAGAAGTTCATTGTCATGTTGAAAATAAGAAGTAAAAAAAAATATAAATGCATCTATTTATATCATTTGCTATACAAGTTTCTATTCCATTCATCACGTATATCAATCCTTAGTTCTATAAAAGAAGAATCCATCACAATTAACAAAGAAAGCCATTTTGATTTTGATTTATGATATATCTTCATATATCATATCAGTATAGTTCTATAGATGGTGCCTGTATTTCAATGTCAATACGGTAGTTACATTTAGGACCATTTTTACTAGAGATTCGATTAGGAGGAGATTTCTTCTTCTCAATAGGTTCTCTTTTGAAGATGATTATTTACTCTTATTAAAACTTTAGAGAACAAGCAGCACAACACATGTTGATATTGACTCATTATTAAATATGAGGACTTTTTTAATCTCAGCATAAACGGTCATCATTTATCACTTTAATTATTTTCCAAATGCAGAATGCTTTTAGTTTTTTTTTTGAGCTTGGTTAATATTAAAAGCTAAATTAGGCACCTAATCAATATAACAATATGTTTGATAGAAAGTATTCTATTGTGTCAATAGTACAACAGATACACAATGTGTGTTTATTTTAGTTAATGAAATCAGTAGTCGAGGTTCAACTTATCAATTAACCGATGCTGTGATAAATGATCTAAAAAACAATGAAGAATTTATTCGTGATCTTCGTCGAGGTGTACGTCTAATGGTTCGAAGTTGGGGTTGGGTGTGTTTTTTTTCTTCTTTTCTTAATTATAGTCATTCAATACTAAACATTTGAACGTCTTTTTTCTTTCAAGGATATTGATAAAGGTCAATTATTTGATAAATTAGAAGATAAACAAAAATGGTCCTGTTGGCCAGTTCGATTGTATAAAGCTGGTAAATGTATGTGGTTATTTGATCAAATAGATTATTATCAATCATTAAAAAAATTAGCATATCATGTTAAAGAAAAAGAAAAAGAAAAACTTGATTTTTTTTCACATACAAAAAATGGTAAAGCTGATGTACTTGAACAATGGAATGAAATGGAACGAACGAAAATTTTTTAGTTTTGTTTTTGTTTTTATATACAGAACAAATAAGTAAATAAATTTGTTTCGCTCTTTTTATAACAATTATATAGCCATATAATAAACGACAGTATATTGAAAGAAAGAAAAAAAATGAACTATGATCATCAATGAATTCAAGCGTCAAATTAAACTTTACTAGATCAAAGAACGTCACAGGGTAGAACATAAAAAATTCGCCCTTGCAAGATCCTCCTAAGTCCGATCTATAGGATGGTCTTCTTTTTGTGTTTCTTGACAACGATAAAAACTTGTCTGTATATGAAGTATGATATCAACTATTATAGGTATACAATTTATACAAAAATATCATTTACAATATAATCATATTGATAAAACTTATCATTTGTTTTCTAGCAGAAATAAAATGAACAATAAAAAAAAAATACTAGATATTCATAGGGCGAAAAAACAAACAAACATAAAGATACAGAATTCGAAATGTAACCAATATTAACTGATGGACAACGAGAAGAGATAGGTTTTCTTTTTATTGAAGTTCTTGTATGAATGAATAAATAATATGCTATCAATTTGATTTGGTAATTAACGTATTCATCTTTGAGTAAATCTCAATCCAGTTGAGCTAAATAATCTTTCTATTAAAGTAGTAGTCGCTAATAGGTAACATTTACTCTTGTGGCTATTATTAGTAATAATTCAAAATTACGACGAATTTCACTAATAGATCAAAACTTCGTTGGATCATGATCAATGAGGTAACTTAAGTGTTTTATAGGACATCCATTCGGTGATGTTCTCTGTGCTAGATCGTTTCAAATTATTTTGAGCATTTGTAAGTATTTCATTCATGAGACTATATGTCCAATTTCAATGAGTTATATATTCCCATATAGTCTAACAAGTATGTCGAAAATTTTTAGATAGAACATTACTTTATCTCTCAAGTGATTATGAAGGTCATCAGAATGTATTATACACTTGATTAGAATCAGAAGTTTATGCTTTTTCATAATTGATGTTCAAAATTTTTGTAAGACTTTTATATCAGAAGTTATGAGCAAATCTTTGAAAAGCTTGAATATTCAAATTTGGACATTTTTCGGTATTTAATAAAGTATTTAGGATCGATGTGACATTCGTTCTAAATATACCAACACAAAAAAGCAAACATTTCTCTACAATGACGTTTTCGCGATTCCTTGATTTTTAGATTTGCAAAATGAACTATATCGTTTTGGGGTGATACATGCAAGACTCTCAGTTCTTAGCGCACCTTATAGAGAATAGTTCCGATCTTTATGTTGTGCAAAAAGCCGCTAAGAAGAACGTATGCAATAAGGAGACATCATTGCTAACAAGGAAGCCTATTATACAGGTGCTAATCGAAAAAAAAAATTCAAAACGTGATCTAGTCAAATAAACGAAATGGACAGACATTCTTACGAAAATAACGAGAAAAATCAATGAATAACAGTATAAAATCAATTTTCAGCAGAATATGATCGCATTCTCAGTCTCAATTTAGTGTTCAAACCTTTCAAAGTTTTTCTCATAACTTCGAACCTGAGAGTTTCACAAAAATTTTGATGCACTCGTATTATAATAATAACTTAACATCTTTGATCATTAAAGTCAATGATTGCATATATTTAAAAAAATCTACAATTCTTGTTTTTGTGACTTGCTGGCGATAATTGCAAGGTCATAACTCGGATGTGTTTTTCCTATCAATTATATATGCCAGAATAAATAATTCAAACACAGGAAGTTAATTATTTATCAACAAACTAAATTGAAGATGTATTCGTCTTAAGGCAAGACAACATTATTTACAGGATGTTTTATAAGACTTGAGGCGAGATAAAATTAGTTTATTTGGAAAATGAAAAATAATGCTTAATGCAAATATGTCTAGACAAGTCTGTTAGTACTCATTTTACTTTTGTAAATAGCATACTATTGTCTGCACAACATTTTCTCTTATAATCTCCTGTAGTGAAAATCGACAATTTTATTGGTGTTTTCTTAGTTCGATTAATTATGAGATGAAATCGTTCAAAAAGATGATTTTTATTGAAACTCGTCTTTATAATTTATACTCTACACAAACACTGTCCAATATACGTATTCATTAACGATTATCATCAGTTTGATATTTGAAAATTTTTCTTGCACATGGTAAAGTGTAGATGAACTGAAGATTCACATCTTTCATGTTTTTGTTTTTTGGAAAATGGTTAATTTAATATTTGGAAATGAAACAAAATACATCAAATAGAATTCTTTATTTATTGTAATGATATGGTCCAAACTAAAAAGATTTTCACAACATGGATTTTATCAAGAATTTTTTTTTCTACCACCATTGCAAGGTAATTTTTTTCCATTGTTTATTCAATCTATTTTCTGGTTGTTGCAGAGGTATTCATTGCGAGTGAAAATTTGCTGCTACCACAATCGTTTTTAAAAAACAAATTTGAATTTTATTACTGTGAATATATTGAACTAGAACTGTTGTTACTAATATCCATGAGATGTTGTGAATATTGAAATGTCGTGGAAATTCATGTATAGTTCTGTAGTGTTCTTTTACAAGTAACTATCGTCGTGATGAACACCTCTGTTCTCTGGAATTCAATCATTCATCAATAGTTCATAACAAAGTCTCGAGATATAATCTGAATTTCTTTACAAACAACTTCTTTATATAAACCAAGTATATGACTCACCCATTCGTATAAATTCTTTATATTTATTTGATCTTTGTTTTTTATAATCGGGAAAAATTCTTACGAGGGAACATATCCAACTGATTCCGAGCTTTCGGCTTCATCTTTTGGCTACAGGTAGGCTTCAGTGAGACTAAGAAAACCCTAGAAGCGTTCGTTCCCATGGCGTATTAGTGAAGAGTTATGGCCGTTTTACTGGATTTTTTACTCGGGACAGGGTATTTCCAAAAACCTTAAAACAAATAATTTTGACCTGAAATTTTGCCTATAGATAGATCTATTAGTTATTAGAAAGTCCTGAAAGTTTCAAAGAAAATGAACGTGCCTTTCTTGAAATATTTAATTTCCAATGAACTTGGCAATTTGGTCCTCCTGTAATAAGAGGCTGTTTGTTTTGAAAAATGAATATCTCGAGAAAGGCACGTTCATTTTCTTTAAAATTTTCAGGACTTTCTAATAACTAATAGATCTATCTATGGGCAAAATTTCAGGTCAAAATTATTTGTTTTAAGGTTTTTGGAAATACCCTGTCCCGAGTAAAAAAATCCAGTAAAACGGCCATAACTCTTCACTAATACGCCATGGGAACGAACGCTCCTAGGGTTTTCTTAGTCTCACTGAGGCCTAGTTGTAGCCAAAAGATGAAGCCGAAAGCTCGGAATCAGTTGGATATGTTCCCTCGTTAGTATTTTTCTATTTATTAAAATTACAATAGTATAAAATCATTGTTAGGTTTATAATGGAAATGTAAAGACTGTAGAAAGATTCAATTGTTTGTTCATTTTCTTTTTATTCATTATTTTGAAAATGTTTCGAAACCTATCTCGCATATCCAGTGGTTTTTTGTACTTTGGACTACTTTATTGCTTAAGCAATGATTGACTGCTGTTATCAATGTACCCTATTACCTATCGCTGAGATATATCTAAAAGGGCAAGATTCAATTTAATGTTATACCGTCATAACATGAAACTGAAAATCTCTGGAGTTTCGATGAAGAAGTGTTCTGATGTTTTCAATATAGTCTAATAAGGTTTTTTAAGACAAATCTAAAAAAATGAAATTTTATTTCATATTATGTATGTATAACATTAAAATCAAACTGATTATGGTCCACATGGATCCCAATTTTTGTATTATTACAAACGAACATGTTCTTCAATATCATATCATTTGAAATACCGACACGATGAATCAAAGTTCAACTACTTAGAGTAATTAAAAAATAGTGGCAGTCTTACTCTAATACCGAATACAAAACTAGAGGAATGTTTTTCTCTGTATGTACTGACAATAAAAGCAAAGTTCTATATTTTTGTAAGATCTCATTATTCTCCAATTAATATTGTATTAATAAGCTTTCGACAAGAGTTATTTGTCACAGCATATGACGATAACACTAATATTCATGTACAAAGAGAAAAGGGTAAGTCAGCATATTTTGAATAACATAGATAGAGATCTATTATTTTTACCGCTGAAAAGAGGAAATGAAGACGTGTCGAATAGGATATTAGAATTTGTTTAACCTGGTGTTTTTTTTCCCGATGTTTTCAATGATCGGCAAAACTTCATAAGGCTCACATGCTGAGATTTAGTGATTCAGAAGTTATGTACTTTGTACTCGAAACTCTAAGTCATATTTTCTAGTAATGTCTGTAAATAACAATGAATTTTTTTTTTGCTTTTTTCTTTTGATAAAAAATATATTTTCCATGACTAGTGTTTTTTATAAAATTAATTAAATAAACATCAGCAAACATAACAAAGAAAAAACTATGGCATATACCTCGATGCAACCTAATCTCCTCGTTCCAATAGTGAAAATAGTAGCTCTCTATCTTGTTTCTATAAAAAGTTATTCGAAAAATACTCATGCATACATTTTTTCTTCGCAAAGGTTATTAGTGTTATCGTCGTATGTCAAAAACAAATAATTCTTATCGAAACATTATTACTATGATATTAGTTGAGAAATGATGAGATCTTTCAAAAATATAAAGCTTAACTTGTAATCTCAGTACATACAGAAAGAAAGTTTCCTCAAGTTTACTAAACGATATATAAGTATTATCGCTACTACTTTTAAACAACCCTAAGTAGATACATTTGATTAGGTACTATTAATTATTTTGTAATATAAACTGATTTTTATTAAACATTAAGACTTATGAAATAAATTGTTTACATTGGAAAATAGTATTGATAGTCTTATTGCTAGTTTTTATTTTATTTAAGTACATATGATGACTAAGTTCACGTTAGTATGAACTTGACATGCGCAAATGTGTCGTTTTCTTTTTTCCTGTATTATTCTAATAACTATAATTTTTCTTGCTATTCGATTGTAATCAAAGCGGAAGGAGATAAAGGCAAGAAAAATATTATTAAAAATAAAAAAAGGAAACACATGCCAGTTCTCTTAATGGAAGCATTCGAATAATCATAATCAACAACAAAAAAGAAAAAGAAAATAGTGAGCATATTTGTAATGTTCTATTATTTTACACATGAACATGAAAAATAAAATCTATTTTTTTTCTTTTCTTTTATCATTATGATTTAGAATTATATTGATCATTTTTTTAAATTATGTTAGATGGTATCATTATTCTTCTATGTCCATTTTTTATTATACCACTTCTATCAATAATATTTGCTTATATTATTGAATTTATTCGACAATATATTCATCAACGACGAAAAAAACAAAATCAAATTAAATATTTATCTATTATGATTATTTCATCAAATCAACAAGATCTTCCACCGGCATATGAAACTTTATTTTTTTGAATACATAGGATAAAAAGTATTTTGGTGAAAACCTATTGACTACTTGATCATATTAGTTGTATTATTCTACGTGATTAATATGAAGAAAAATTTAATTCAATGTTTTATTTTTTTCCTTGTTCATTAAGTGAAGATGATGAACCATGAATAGTTGCTTCACCTTCATGTTTTGTACCAGGTCGACCTTCATGTGGATGTGGTAATGCTATATGATTTGGTGTAACACCCCAAATGTCACGTGCATAGTCAGCTATAGTACGATCACTGGAAAATTTACCTGATGCAGCAATATTTAAAATACTTTTCTTTGTCCAAGCAATTGGATCCTAAATAATTAATTATACAAGAATTTAAAAAAAAATGAAAACAACCAGAAAAGAAATTAACTTTAAATAGTTCGGACACTTTGTCTTGACATTTAATATAACTTTCATAATCAGCTAAAAGCATGTAACTGAAAAATGAAAGAATAAAACTGATTTATACATGTGTGTGTTTTCTTTTTAAATAAACATACTGATCGCCATTTTCACTTAATAAACTATTAACAATATCATGAAATAAATCAGGATTTTCAGGTGAAAAATATCCATCTTGAATTTGATCAATAGCTTGTTTAAGTTCAACATTATTTTCATAAAAAAGTTTTGGATTATATCTACATAGAAATAACAAAAGGAATAATGTTTTTTGTTTTTTCTATAAAAAAAAAAAGAGAGGCCTCAAATAATCTTGTTTTGTTTACCCTTCTTTTTTACGTTTTTCAACTTCTTCAACTGTCATACCAAATATGAAAATATTTTCATTTCCAACTTCTTCAGCCATTTCAACATTTGCACCATCTAATGTACAAATTGTTAAAGCACCATTTAACATAAATTTCATATTTGATGTTCCACTTGCTTCCATACCAGCAAGTGATATTTGTTCAGATAAATCAGCAGCTGGAATAATTGCTTCAGCCATTGTTACTCGATACTAAAAATAAAGATTTTAGAACAAATCAGAAGACTAGTGAATTATTCAAACTTTTTCAAGTAATAAATTACTATTGAGATGAGTCTTAGGTCATTCAAATAGGACGCTAATGAGACTCGAAAAAGTGTAAAAGGATCCATTTTCATGGAATTCTATTCTCGATTAATTGAGTCTTTTAACAAAACTCTTCCTTCCTTCTTATATTTATGCTTGAGGATAGAAGATAGTGGATAGTCGGATACTTTTACAATGAACTAATACCACGGAAAATTATATTTTGTGCAAAATTTGAATTCAAAAGTCGATTTTAAAGATGATCTGAGGGATGTCACAATATTTTTATTAAAAATTTTATCACAATGATCATCACTCAAAGAGAAAAGTCAGTCTTAAAAATGATTAGGTTCAGTGAGCTCTATCATACGCTCTACATTTCTGATATGCCTGTCCCATTGACATCATCTTCTTATTAAATTGTTCCGATTTCTTTCAACAAACTGAATAAACGGTATTTCGATTTGAACTTTGACACACAGATAGGTCTATTTGTGACTAGAGTACTTTGAAAATTTTGGTCTGAAAGAATACTTTGTTTACGAGATATGTGGAAATTCGATCTGTCACGACAAAAACATTCTTTTGAACTGTACTTTTCGAGGCATTCTAGTCACAACCTAGAACTACTTTTCAGTTAAATTTCAGATTGAAATATTCTTCATTCTAGTTTTTTTTTTGTACATATCCTGACATAGCCAGTAATTCGTGTAACATGCCTATAACTCTGAAGGAAAGATCTAAGGACATTTTTAAAATTGACTGGAATCTAAATGAATGCTGTGGTTTCCCTGGGGAACATCGGGAAAGTTCACTTCCAAATTTCGACTTGAAACTTTGCATAGAGACAGACCTTAAATAGTGTGTCTTTCACAATGAACTATTCTCGTTAAGTTCTGTCTCTATAAAAAGTTTCAAGTCGAACTTTGAAAATTATTTTTTCGGATGTTGCTGAGAAGAACCACGTCACTTATCTAAAACATACAGTATTTCTGCATTAATAAGCTAAGAATTCGACCGCTCTCTTGGGTACTCATACGTCATTTGGTTCTACATAATGCACTTAGTATCGATTCAAAAGTTATTTTTTCAATTGGAAGATTTTTCCTCGTTAACCATGTTATATATCCACGTATACAAATAGAATACTTACATTTTCAAGAAAAACAACTTTAAGACGATCACCAATAATTGGATCATTATTCACAACTCTACTAACACTATTTACCTACAGAATAAATAATTCGTTTTTTTTTTTTATATTTTCTTTTTTTATTTACTAATTTAATAATCTTCTTTGCTATATGATAACCTGGTGCAGCCTATTCAAAAAAAAATAATAACAAGATTATTTACATATTTTATTTTCAAACCTTTCCACCAATCATAACAGTACGTGGTATATATTTTCCATCTGGATTTGCTTTGATACGATTATATAATGTAATAATATGTAATACATTTAATAATTGTCGTTTATATTCATGAATACGTTTAACTTGCATATCATATAATGACATTGGATTTATTTGTTGATGTTGTTCTTTTAGAAGCCATTCAGCTAAACGATGTTTATTTTCTTGTTTAACTTGTTGAATATCACGTATAAATGATTCATTATTAACAAAGTCTTTTAAACGTTTAAGTTCACTAAGATTTGTTATCCAATCTTCACCGATTTTCTAAAGAAAAATAAATTCATTAATACAAAAAAAATCTTTTTTTTTTTTTTTTTTATGGAAAACAAAATCCAAAAGTTTTTTACTTCAGCAATAATATCACTTAAATTTGGATTACTAAGAACTAACCAACGACGAGGTGTTATTCCATTAGTTTTATTTTGAAATTTTTCTGGTGTTAATTCATAAAATGGTTTAAAACTGCAAAACAAAAATCAATGCAAAATAGTATTTTATTGAAAATTTTATATATATATATATTTACAGAGTTGCTTTAAGAAGGTCAGAATGAATTTTTGCAACACCATTAACTGCATGAGATCCCTAAAATTAAAAATTTTCTTTTTTATTCATGGTTAAATCACAATTTTTACTTACAACAATAGCTAAATGAGCCATATTAATACGTTTTTCACGACCTTCTTCGACAATTGATAAATCACGAAGATAATTATTATCATTTGGAAAACGAGCAGAAACGTCCTAAGAAATTTCAACAGATATAAAATCAAAAAACAAAAAAGATTTCTTTTTTTTTTTACTTGAAGATGACGTAAATTAATATCATAAATAATTTGTAAATGTCGTGGTAAAACATATTGTAATAAATTGACTGACCATCGTTCAACAGCTTCAGGCATAAGTGTATGATTTGTATATGCACATGTTCGTTTTGTTACATCCCATGCAACATCCCAACTTAAACCTTCAATATCGACTAATAAACGCATTAATTCAGCAACAGTTAGTGCTGGATGAGTGTCATTAAGTTGAATAGCTACCTTAAAAATGAATTAATATTATTCGTACTAAACTCTCTGGTGTAAATGATCTAACTAATATACGAGAATAAATAGATAGATTAGATCTTTTATCATAAATTTTCCTATATTAATGAATAGAGCAATAAGATCAATAATTGTCGATAAGATGTTGGACGGTAATACAGATGTATAGAGTTACTTTACCTTCCAGGGTAAGTTATCTGGAATTTAGACGATACTGTCGAATTTCTACAATTATCCAAATTCATAAGGAATTGTGACAATAACATTCATTGCTAGAAATTTTATTGCTCAAAGTTCGATGGAATTCGAACAATATCCACAATGGCGGAACCTATAATATTTTATAGAAACAGCTATATCAATAGCTATGGCTACAGGGACACATTCATATATTTAGCAGTAAATGTTATTTTTTGTCATTTCTTATGAGTTCAAATAATGGTGAAAATTCAATAGTATCATCTAAATTCATAGAGTGAAATTCCGGTTTACCGTAGGGTAGGATAGCGTAGTGGTAGTAGGGTTCGACGATTACAATATTATTCGAAAGTAGAACTACAATTTCGATTTCCAAAACCTATCACGTAGAACGAAACCGTTAAAATATCAGATAGATACTAAAATTTCAAATATATTTTGAGAAATTTTCACTATTGAATTGTTAAGATTAAAAACGTCACATATTTACAGCGTTTAAAACAAAACAATATTATACATATATACAAACATCTTTATTATCAAGAATGGAAAAATAAAGATTTTTCAAATGTAAATTTAAGAATTTTTGTATCTATCTGATAATTTAACAGTTCCGGTGCAGTTTTCGATACTAGACATTTGGATCGCAGAACTCTGAAGGGTAATGCTAAGATAGGCTAAGGATTAGAAAATATCTCTCGGTCAGGATACAGGATCAGAAAAAAGCTTACTTGCATATCACTGGATGATAATTCAAGATCATTCGATTCAACTTCTAGACATTCATTCAATACGCAAAAATTCTAAGCCTCGACATTGGGCCTCTTTTCGATGTTCCTATCCGACCCAATAAAGTCTTAGCTTCGCTCGGTTTGCATTAGCATATCTTTTATAAAAAAAAAGACCTTTGCACTCTAGGACTCAATAAGTATGTTAGTAATTTATCAGAACATCGTGAAAAGTTTATCATCATTGTATTTGCGAGCTTCAATGGGATAAGATTATTCGTATGATTGTAAAAGCCACATGTGAGATAAGACAAATTTCTTACTGAACCCAAAAAGTGAGAATTATTTTTCAGTACTCCACTTTGACAAAGAAAATTGTTTATGAAGGAGAGTCTGCTAGGAGCACACTATTTACGGTAGAAGTTCAAAGAGTCAGAATAATTACTATTTGTAGTGTATACCATAATTTTAGCCTTTCTACCAACGGTAAAATACTTGTGAATCGTATTTGAAATATATTGAGCTGATCATTTTAGTAAAAAAAATTTTAATTTACTTAATAAATCATGATGATAGGACCAACATATCCAAAAGCTTCGGCTCCTGTAGACTGCTACTGAGACATAGTTGATGTTTTCGAGTATTTTTACCCTAGCACCATGACTTATTGAATAACCTCGTGTTTCTTGTTCATGATTACTCATAAAAATACCCATCGAAAATTCGATTCGGAAGAATTTTGCCGTTGATAGTATTATTAACAGTACTCTGCGTCAATAATATTCATACTATTTACTCATGTAAAAAAAAATCTGTTTTTGCCTGATTGAAATGGAATATGACGCTAAATCACCTTTCGGCATATATGCCATACTTCAAGATACAATATCAATCATCGTACTTTCAATGATTTATAAAGTGTAATCATTTAAAAATTAAATAATCTAATTACAGAAAAAAATCGAATAAAATCTGATTTTGTTTTACACGATTAGTTCCAATAATTACATTAATCAATCTTGTATGCGAATGAAAAGTAATATTCAACTATGAGAAAAAAAAAACGTTTATCTTATTTATTGTTTAAATCAAACTTCCAAACAACTCTCAAAGTAAATATTTTCTGATTATTATTAGTCACAAGATGCATAAATTTTCCTTGAGGAAAAAAAAAGAACAACAGTTCGACAAAAGTGTACGCTCTCCTCTGATAAGGTCAGCCCGACCCCCATCAGCCTGCTTGAGAAATCTCTTTGGAACAGATTGAATGGCATATTTCGATACCTCGAAAATGACCTTTGAAAATTGATTCATACCTTGTCTGGAAAATTACTAAAATCATCTCGAGTTGTTGAAGTAATTCCAAATTTCGAATGTTTATATCGTCGAATAATATCTGATAAAGTAGCAGCAACAAGAAAATATTCTTGTTTAAGACGAAGTTCTTTGCCTTGTTGATACTAAATATTAAAAAAAGATATTCGTTTTAGTAATCGTAAAAAAACAAGAAAGAAAAACATTGAAATCTTACATTATCATTTGGATAGAGTACACGTGTAACATTTTCAGCTAAACTTTGTTCGCTAACTGCATTAAGGTAATCTCCGTCATTAACTAAACAAAGAAAGAAAGAAAATAAAGGACAAATAATCACGAAAAAAAAAAATAACAAACAAAATTGAAAATTAAATTTTTGTGCGGCTTTTGCACTCCATAATCGAAGTGTATTAACGACCTAGAACATTAAAATAAGGGATTTTTTTTTTCTTTTTCTGCATGCTATTACTAACATTGTTATTGAAACCTGGAACTGGTGTATCATAAGGCATAGCCATAATAATCTAACGACAAATATAATAAAATAAAATTTGCTTTTCATATCAAATTTCAATTAAAAACCTTTGTATCAACCCATTTTGGTTTTCCATTTTGTTCAATAACACGACCATGAAGATTAACTGGAATTTGATATTCTGGTCGAGGAATTTCCCATGGATTTCCATAACGTAACCTGAATATAATTTTAAATAGAAATAAATTTTTCTAGAAATTTTATTACCAATCATCAGGTTCTTCATATTGAAAACCATCTTTAATTGTTTGTTGAAATATACCAAATTCATAACTAATAAAATTAAATCAAAATAGATAAGATAAATTCGAAACAAACAAATTTCTACCGTAATCCATAACCATAACCAGCTATTCCAAGTGTAGCCATTGAATCAAGAAAACAAGCAGCAAGTCGACCAAGACCACCATTACCTAACCCAGCATCGTCTTCAAACTCTTCTAATTCTTCAATAGATAAACCAAGCTAATAAATTAGAAATAAAAATTAAGATAATAAAATTGAAATAAAATTTTTTTGTACTTCATATAAAGCTTCATCTAATTCTGATTCAATGCCAAGATTAACCATCATATTTGATAATGATCGTCCCATATAATATTCTAATGATAAATAATAAACACGTTTTGGATCACTATCATAATAATGTTGTTGTGTACGAATCCATCGACCAACAAGATGATCACGTACAGTATAAGCTGCTGATAAATAATAATCACGATTTGTAGCTACATTACGATCTTTAACAACAGTAAAATGTAAATGTCGATTAAATGTTTTTTTAACGGATGCTACATTTTCAAGTAGTGGTAAACCACGAATAGATATTTGTTTTCGTCGATCTTTATCTGTTAATGGCACTTTAGTTGTTGATTTCGACATTATTTAAATCAAATTATATGTAAATCTAGAACGAAAGAGTACTTGCTTTACCTATTATCAAACAAAAAATACATTATAAAGCAGTCGCTACTTTCTCGTGGCCTTGTTTAAAAATAATCGAACGTAAGAAACGAAGAAAAAAAAAAAGATCGTACTTTGCACTTGATATATATTATACACAGGCGTTTGTCGTTCTTTTATTTCGACGCATGACACATCCTCTAACAAGTAGGCTTGCACCCAGGAAGTTGGGTATCTAAAAAAGAACAGACACAGAGAACGAAACGAAGAAATATAGAAAAAAGAAAAGAATAATCGTTGACTTATATTAAAGTGTCATTTATTTACTTTCAATCGACACTTATAAAACAAAGAATCTGTTTAACAACTGGACAACTTCAAAGCTACACTGCTTTGTTTAATTATAGAGAATATTATATGATTACTTTCTTTTTTTTTTTTTTGTATTGAAACACACCTTCAAGAGAAAGGCTATTGATGTATAAAGGTTATAATAGGTTATAAAAGGTATTGGCTTCGGTTATATTATAATTATTCTTATTAATTTATATAGGTATTTGTTCGAGTAACTTTGCATAAATTAAAAGAAATAATTTGTTTGATATAATTCAAAGTCGAGTACAAAATAGAAATCTTCAGCAAACAAGAATTAATTTTAAATCTAAAAGTCAGATATCAATAGATTATTCATTAGAAAAGAATTCTATTAATATTAAATCTAATAATGGACATGTTCAATTGTCAAAAATTTTATTGGATTTTTCGATTCACGCAAGCTATTCTGGCAAAAGGTCAAATGGTGCAAATTTGAAACAAAAAAAAATTAATGCATGAGTAAGTTTCACTTATATTAGATTGGCTCGGGAATTTCCTATCGTATAAGCAAAATTTCAGATCAATGATCTTTCACTAGATATTTTTCCTTCGGTCGAAATTTTATTAACATAGTCACAAATTTGGAAGAACAATACATCGACCATTGTGAGAATATTTTCTCGTAAATTAGAAGCAAAAGATTTATCACGGTTTATGTAACTATCAAAAACACTTAAGAATACAAAGATGAATTACGTAGTCTTTTTATTTATTTTAAAAAATATCTAAGTAAACATGCCAGAAGGATGCATTTTATGAAATAGTACTGATACATATCATGTATCGCTAAAAAAAAATATAAATCAAAAGAACACAGAAATTTCTAAATAATCAATATTCTAAATTAATTTTCTTAATATTCTTTAAATATTTTCCTAGATCATATATTTAATCGAATATTTCTACACTAATAAAGAACATTGGTCTTCATAGAAAATACTCTCTAATTACTTTTCATTAATAATATTCATAAAAGTAGTTGTAGATTACTTTGTTTTTTTTTTAAACACTAAGACTAAATTTTTATATAGTATTATATGAAATAATTAGTTTATCTCCGATATTAATTTCAAAAGAAATATAATCGAAGTGATATACAGAAATAGAAACTTATAGATTTCTTTTTTGTACTTAACTGTAACGGCAAACTGAAGAAGTTGCTTATCATAAATTTCGATGTAAAGATATTTATTGAGCTACGTCATATCGTCAGAATGTAATGACTTTACATACCGCACAGGTTTATATAGAAAAAAGAAAGAGAATGAGCGAAGGAAAAAAAATGACTAGAGCAAAGGATAAAAGACGAAGTAAAAAACGAACGAATCAAAAGAACAGACAAGGGAGAGACAATCGTTATCATTACATGAGTATGACTAGATATTGTTGTATCATTTAAAAAAAGAACAATTATATCAAGACGAGTATGATATCCTGTCAGATGGTGACGTGATTATCAACACGCCAACTAAAATCATTTTTTGTACTTCTTATTTTTATCTTCAAAATTGAAAAAGACTTTCCTCTGATTCGATTTCATTTGCATTCAATTGAATACATGTTGCATTTTTCAGAATCTATTGCTGTTGTGATTGTTCAAATTCCTCATATGTTTTTAATTCGGCTTCAGCTTGTGTCTAAAACTTGATGAAGTACAAACTTACATCACTCTTATCAATTGATCTTTAGTAGAATCTTTTGAAATTTTTCATGCATATATTAAACAACCACAGTTATCATCGATAACAACTAATTTATAATGATTTTGTTGAGTTAAAAATCAACGAATAGAATTATGACAGATAGACTGCATCTGTTTATTTTTTTAATGTATGTTCATTATTGCTTTCAAACATATCTATTTATTTCTTTTTATTTATTCATTCTCATACCAATATATTCTAATGTTTTCTGTTGTTTTAATCATTCATAATACATTATGTATACATTGAAAAAAAATGAACTATTTTTAACATCTATTTTGTTTGTTTTTATTTCGATTTTTATCCTATAAGAAATAACAATAATAACGTTGTTTAAAATGAATACTAGATCTCTATTTATGCTTTTTCTTTCCATATAATTGTTCTAAAAACAATCCAAGAAACACTAATGCTGTTCCAAACATTTGTTGTTTTGTTATTGGATTACCAAAGATAAGTATTGAACAAAGTATAGTAAAAAATTTTCTTGTTGTTGTAAATATTGAACATGTCAATGGACCAAACCATTCAATAGTAAGAAAGATAAAATTCTAAAATAAATTTTGAGATTTTTGTTGTTGTTGTTTTTTTTTCTTTTCGTGTTTTAAAATAAAAAAAAACTAAAAAATTCATTTCGTTTTACTTACTTGACCAATGGCACCAGTTAAACCAAGTAAAAACATATTGAAAATGACATGTGGATAAATTTTGAGAAAACTATATAAACCATAAATTTCACCAGTGATTAATATGCCAATAGATGCCCATAAACATGACCAAATATTCATTGAAAACATCATATGATAAGCTTGAACTTTATGTTTATCACGAATTTTATCTTGTATACCACCTGTTAGACCATCAAATACAAGTGAAACAAACTATATTAGAAAAAAAAAATATCAATGACAATCAATTTTCAGATGCAAAAAAAAAAGAATTTCAAATTCACTGCAAAACTATTATGAGTATCATTTTCATATTTCATTCCTAAGAACTTAGAATGCGTAAGTGTGTCACATAAAAAAATGGGTAAAATTCTTCTATCATAAATCTATGTTAAACAATCAAACTGCAACAAAGCTTTGCTTACAACAGTTATTGTAGAAATCTTTCTCATATTCAGATACGAAATCTTTATTTTATTGTCTTCGGAAGATTTCCAAAAACATTTGTACCATTTAGAAACAATTTTTCATTTTTCATCTAATTACAAAAGCATCGTTTAGCTTTTTTTATTTTGAAAAATCCTCTACAAAACGCATTATTTTAATTCCATTCTGGGAAACTTTTTCTCTCTTGATGCAATTTATTTCTAGGTATCAAGTTGCTTAGTGAATCGAGACTATGTACATCCTAATGAGGTATGAATACTATACAAAGAGTTCGAGGTGAAAACAATCAAAAGGTCTGTCTCTACACAAAACGTCAAGTCGAAATTTAGTTTTTCCTGAGGGGAATCGTAGCATTCTACTAAAATCTACAGTATCTCGGCAGTAATAAGCTATTAATCCGAACTCATTTCAAAGTATTAGAACCTACATAATGCAAATGGTCTCGATTTAAAAACAATTTGATACTTAAAAAACGTTTTCTTGTGAGTTTTTCAACATATCTAGAAATATACTTATTTTTATTCTAGTAAATCATGTTGCTAACAAATGCAGTAACCTATATTAATTCATTTGATTACTTACCAAAAGAAATTCTCCAATACCAATTAAATCTCCTGTATCTATAACCTTTGTTTCTTTTGGTTTCTTATACATAAATAAAACGACACCTAAAATATTTAAATCAATTTAATAAATAATTAATTTAAAAAAAAAACTCTATTACCAGCAACAATCAATAAAACATAGAAATATTTCATTAATGGATATCGTTTTCTTGCAACTAATACACCCAAAAGCATAACTGGTACAGGTTTGACTGATTTTCCAAGAACCTTGAAATAAAAAATATTCAAAATTTAATTTATACAATAGAAAAACAAAAAAGTGGTTTTTTTTGTTCATTCAAATTCTCTACCTGCATCGGATAACTAACAAATTCTAGAGCAAAATTACTTGCAAGCATAGCAAATAAATATGTAAATGATGAAAATGCATACATTATTGGTGGTGTTGTATCTTGATGAGTTTTTCGTACAATAAGTATTGTTTTTGATACAATTGCATTAAAAATACATTGAAAAAATACCAATGATAATATATATGTAAATTTATCATTTTCTCCATATGTTCCTTTTACTCTATGAAATATAAATAATCTTCTTTCAGATAACATATATATACATAAAGATCAAAATCTTACATAGATTCTTGAACAATACCAAATAGAAGATAAGCAACAAATATTCCAAGAAAACAAACGAATATTTTCACTGTTGGAGAATTTAATAAAGATTTTACTTTATGATGAGAATGATGATGATGGTGATGTTGATGCGTTCCAGAATGTGTTATATCTTCATCCATTGCTAAAATGACGTTTAAACTCTTTTTTTTTTTTTTGAGTTAATACACGTAGTAAAAACTTGTCATATTATTGACTGGAAAGGGGAAGAAGCAATCGGAAATAAGAGGTACTAGGACATCTACAGAAGAAAAAGAAAGGTTAATGATGAAGATAAATGGCTGAGTAAAAGAATGATTTTATACTTTAATTTTACTTGTATAAAAAATGTCGACAACTATGGATCAAGTTGTTAAACGAGCTAAAGATAGTTTTGGACAAATGTTTGATAAAAGTTTACATGATCTTGTTCGTGGTATTCGCAATCATAAAGATAATGAAGTATGATTTGAAAAATAGTACCATGGAAAAAAGACAAAGAAAATTAAATATTAATCTTTTTTTTCGTTTTCAAAGGCTAAATATATCAATGAAGCTATTGAT